GACTCAGTACGCTGACGACACCCAAATCCTGTTGTCCGATGTCAAAGCCAATCTTCCTGACCTCATCCAACGCATGGAATCTACCCTTTCCACCTTGTCTGCTTGGTTCCATGCCCATGGCTTAAAACTCAACGCGTCCAAAACTGAAATCTTTCTCCTCGGCACCCGTCAGAACACCCGTTACCTCCCCCCTGTCAGCGTACGGGTCGGTGGTGGGGCTGTTCGGGAGAGCCGGACAGTCAAATACCTTGGCGTGCTGTTTGACCGTCATTTGAGTTGGGACGCACACGTCAGTGACGTGGTTCGCCACTGTACCGGCCTCCTGATCGGTCTCCGCCACCTGAGGCATTTCCTCCCGCAGCACGTACTGAAAACTATTGTTGAGGGGTTGGTCATCTCGCGCGTGAGATACTCCATATCTGTTTACGGAAACTGTTCTGCCGATAACTGTGCCAGACTTCTCAAAATTATTAACTTCGCTACAAGAGTTATTACCGGCCTCAAAAAGTACGACCACGTATCTCGCGCGCGGGATGACCTGCGCCTCAAATCGGCCAGTGACATGTACCGGGTCGCAGCGGTGACTGTCGCGCGCGGTGTGATTGTGCGCGGTGAACCGACCGTCCTCGCCTCACTGTTCGCCACGAACGCTGGGTCGCGGGCCAGTGGTGACCGCACCACCCGGAATGACCGTCGCCTACGGCCACCGGTTTCGCGCACTGCGGCTGGGCAGCGGGCCTTTTCACACCAAGCGACCGCGCTTTTAAACCAGCTGCCCGCTGCCCTTTTAGATCTCGACCCGGACAGTTTTAAGAAAGCAGTAAAGGCGCACTTCTGATGGGGTTCCGAGAGGCTGTTATTAGCCGCGTTTACATAGGGCTAGTTGCCAGATAGTGGAATTTCCACTAACAGAGGGTTCCCGAGAAATACGCCATGGCCAATATCCTGGACGCAATTCGGTGTGCAGACGAAAATATGCATGTGAGTGCTAGAAATTCGTAAATTACATTATTTCATTGACTTTTTTTGTTAAAAACACGTGATGACAAGCTCAGCAAATCTATTCATGGTGGCTTACGTGGCAAATTGGCTTTCCTTTGTGGGATAATGCCATTTTCATTAGCTCTACTTTGATTAGCGTATGACAGGTGTTCGTGTAAAATAAGCAATTTTACCTATTTCCTTCATCAGTTTGGTAGCTGAAACAGCTACCAATTTACTTCCACTATGACAGTTTCCAGTAACATATGCTACTGATTGGCTAAAATTAGCCAATCAGATCTCTGGAGTTCCCCGCAGTGCGTTACAACTATGACGCGGCAAAGACATATTTGGACATAACATTTCTATATTGATATGCCTATCTACATTGCATGAAACTTGTGTGGATGTCATCAAGAGAAATATTTTGGCCTAAGGTCTGTGAGACGCTAGTCGCTACTCTTCTATACGTTATACCCTTTTTCAATATGAATACGGTGCCGTGTTCTGACTGCAGACTCCTGGTAAGTTTGTGAAGGTCTCACGGAAGGGGCGAGAGCGCTCTTTCGCTTTTCGATCCAGCAGGCAACAGCAATGATTTTTTGTAAGGGAGTATCAGTGGAAGTCACAAATTTATTTAAAAGTTGGTAAAGTTGTTTTGGTTTAAAAGTTGGTGCATTTGCCTTGTCAAGGGTATGGAACCTCAATATATTGCTTAGTCATATTTCCAGGATGTTGATAGGTATGCTTGGAAAAAGATGTTTTGATAATGTCGAGAAATGTAGCAAGGACCTTCCTATCTTCAAATCAGTTGTTCCCTACAGTTTCATGATTTTAAGGTGTGCATGAAATAATGAGAAAAGGTAAAAACAAAAATATGAACAAAATTTTTGTTAATTCATGATGCATGATAGAAAAAAATAATTTTCTGTCGTTGATTAAAGCAAGGCTTGCGACTGAACCATAATGTGCATTGCCTGCTGCGCAGTGTCCCAAAATTTGTAGATGTGGGTGGGAAACGACATCGAAATGCAAAAAGCATTTTCCACTCTCACCTCCAGTTTTCAAGCCCAATTTTCCACTCCCAATTCCACCGAGAAGGAGCAATTGCGGGAATGGTTGTTTAACATCTGTCACAATTGTAGATGGATTAATGTTTTTGATCATTTTCCCACTATTTTTGGGCCTTACCTGACCGACAATTTTTCACTCTCATCGTTTTTTTTTTGTCAGCAATTTTCCCCTATGACACCCAAGCAAAAATAGGATTTTGGTACATTGGCAATGTCCCAAAATTTGTCGATTTGGGTGGGAAACGACATCCAAATTAAATTCATTTTTCACTCTTGCCACCAATATTTAAGAATAATTGTCCACTCCCAACCAAGAAAACTTAGGATTTTTTACCAGGAGCAGTTGTGTGGATGCCAGGTTTAGCATCAAACATTCTACACCCTAGAATAAAATACATGTTTTTGTTGTTTCTCACTCCTTTTAGATCTAATCGAATCAGCAGTTTTCTACCTCCCCCCCCATTTTGGTGGGTATTTTTCCCCTCTGACACCCATGACAAAACTCAATTTTGGGACACTGCTACGCCGGACGCCGGTGAGACCATCTTGCGCCGAAATTCGGTGCAAGCGATTTTGCGCCGAAATTTCTGAGTGATTTGCGCCAAAAATTAGGTGCCCACTGCTATTGATTAACGACGCTTGGCTACGTTCAACAAGGTTTTCCATGCCTATCTCTACGCCGAAGGTTGAGGTCTCACCTGGGCGGCCGTTCCTCCGCTGAGTAGACTCAGGGCGGCTCGCCAGTTCGAGCACGCAACGACCGGGGCGGGGACGTCTCGCCCCGCAACCTCTCCAGAGCTGCCCACGGGGCGAATCTGCTGCTAGATTGACCAGCGTACCGCATAAATTCTCGGTGGTGAGCAGCCTGAACGCCTAAAGAGACCCTCCCACCCAGGCCCATGTCACTCCACTTTTGATGACATCATAAGGGGGCCTCAGGACAATTAATGGCGCGGTGCACCACAATCGCTCCCAAGGTACTGGCCAACAGCTGCCATTTTTGAAAATATTATTTTGAAATAAAGTTTCAAGTAATGAAAATATTGTAATGAAGTTGTAACTTAAATCTATACCACATCTAAAAACTTACTGAAAAATGATTTATCCATAGGTAGTAAAAATATAAGCTCGATGCGTTTTCACGTTGCTTTCCTGCTGCTGCAGAGGGGTTTTAAATCGTCTATATCTTCAAAACCGGCCATTTCTTAGCATATTGCTGCTTTTTTTTGTCGCTGGAAAATTAGTTGGGCTTTCCATTGACATCAACGGCTGAGCGGTATGTGCAGAGTGCCATCAATAATCTTCAAATGAAGTTAGTCATTTTTACGTTGCAAAGGAATGGAGTACCCCTTCCGAGCATCAGGGATGACGTCACTCAGGATCTGTCTCTGATTGGTCGGCGGGGGAGTGACTGTACCTTCTATAGATGGCCTTGCTCCCACCTTCAAAAAAGTTAATGAATTGGCATAAAAGTGATGTCCAATGGATGAGAGTGAGCAAAAAGGAATATCTACTGGTGTACATTAGTTTCCATCGAAAAATATTCACTGTTTTTTATAGATATTACACTTATTATTTATTTCCCGGGGCCTACGCTGTTCATACGAAGTCATTGGGAAACAGTTATTTGGTATTTTAAAAGTGCGACCGATGTTGCGCGCAAAGCAGCATATACCACCACTGCTTCTTGAAGATGTTAGGATGTACAAAACTATGGTCCTTTTAAAGAAGACTATGTATTTTACTTGACGAGAATGCTGCAAAAATTCCCCTAATAATAATAACCAGTAATTACTTCTATGCAAGGCCATATATAGTAGGTAGCGACACTGAGCGATTTGTTTACAGCCAGTTTCGATCCCGATGACGCAAATGTGTCGTCACGAGACAAAACAATATGGCCACCTCTAATGAGAACAAAGTGCGATAAGTTCCCGGATGTAGACAGCACTGACGTCACCGGGATCGAAACCGACGACATCGGTACTGGACCTATGGCGAAGCAAAGTAGTGACATCCCCCTGCTTCTATGATATACGTATGAAGGTACCTATTTTGCAACTGTGTCAAAGCACAAAAGAACAGCATTCTGACAGCTCACTGTGTTATGTGTAAATGGCAAGTTTGGTTAAACTTGGTCAGTGCTGAACTTGGATTTTAATTGCTAATTGTTTTGTCATTTCAGAGTGTTAATGGAAACAGACGATACTGAGCTGGGGCCGGATGCAGGAGGCGACGGACGCTGTGGTGTGCTGGGCAAAATAGTCCAAGATGCTGGTAGCGGGTGAAATACGCAGCTGCTCGTCGTCTTCTAGAGCGCCGCGGACGCCGTGGACTGCGCCATCAAAGTCGACGGAAAGTCGGTTCCAGCAGCCGACCGTCTCAAACTACTCGGAGCCACCCCCTCAACCTGCTCCTTCACTTCGGGGCCCATTGCCGCAGTCTCCGCTCCCGAGTGCTCCCCGGATCCAGCAGCTTCGCAAGCTGACAGCGCGGGGCTGGGGACTAGAGGAACGACAGCTCTGCGCTGTGGCGTCTGGATACGTCCGTGGAGTGCTGGTGCACGCGGCCGCCACCTGGCTCCTGGTGACGCCACAATCCCACGTGGAACTCCTCCAGAGGGAGATGCGGGCGGTGACCTGTACATCACCGGCTGCCCCTTGTTTACCCCAGCCCACGCAGTGATGGCGGAGACCGGACTGATGCCGGTGCCCGCTGGCCGCCCGGCGAGACGTGCTGGTAGCGAAGCTCTTCGCCAAGGCGCACGCGCTCCCCGAGGGCAAGCCCTCAGGACTATCGCGGAAGATGGGCCGCCCAGCCGACTGAAGTCGGTGACGGGCTGGCGTGGGGAAGGGCACGAAACCTGGCGAGCGGCTGGGATAATCTCTGATTCATGCTCGTGTCGCCAGTCGCGAGTGACATCTGTGTGCGGCGCGCGCGTCCAAGATGGCGGGCGGCGATGAGGCGCAGTCGGCCGCCGCCGCCGAGAAGCCGTCTGAGATGGAACTACTTCGGGGCATGCTGCAGCAGCAATTGGAGCTGGCTGCAGCGGCAGCGCGACGTGAGGAGCGGATGGCCGCGCTGTTGGAGCGGGTGCTTCCCGGCCCGACGGCCGTGCAGGACGTCACGGCACCCGCCCAGGCAGCCGCGGGGCCCGATTCCGGCGCCCGGCCGCGTGCACGCATGCCCGCCGCCGGCACGCCCACGCCCCGGCTGGCGGCTACCGCTACCCTCAAGGAGTTTGAGGCCTGGAAAGATAAGTTCTCCGGCTACTGCCTCCTCACCGGCGTCCACGATCTCACCGAGGCTGAGCAGCGGGCCGCCCTGCTCGCTGTTCTCGACGACGACTGGGCCCGCGTGGTCCGGTTTGGCCTGCCCATCCCGGCCGAGGCGTCCATGGCCGATGTAATCACCGCCATGCACGCCCACCTTCGGCGGCAGTGGAACGTGGTGATCGACCGCTGCGAGTTTAACATGCGGATGCTGGAGCCAGGCGAGTCAGTGGACGATTTTATCTGCGCCCTGAAGGAGATAGCGTCCTGCTGTGATTTTTGCCCGAACTGCACCGATGATAGGTTCCGAGACCATCTGGTGGTGGGCACCAGTGATGACGAGGCCAGACGCCGCATGCTGGAACTGCCCGATCTGACCTTCCAGATGGCCGCCGACCTGTGCCGGGCGTCCGAGAGCGCCCGTCTCAACAGCTCGGCGATCCGTGGCCCGGGCGAGCCGTCTCTGCGCCGGCTCTCCGAGTACCGGCGACATCGCGGTCGGCCGAGCGGCGCGGACTCGCGCCCGGCCGACCAGACCCGGCGGTGTGACCGCTGCGGTGCCGCGCAGCACACGGACGGTCGTGCCTGCCCCGCCCTGGGTCGCACCTGCCACCGATGCCACGAACGGGACCACTTTTCCTCGGTCTGCCGGCATGCCGCGGGCACTGAAGAGCGGCGCCGGCAGACGCCTAGTTCCGAGCGCAGCCACCAGGGACAGGACTGGCGCCACCGTAGCGCGAGCAGCAGCCGCCAGGGGAGGGCCGAGGGGCCGGCGCCACTGTAGCGCAATCAGCCGCCGCCGTGTCAGCACGGCTGCCGACGCGTCGCACCGGCAGGTTTCGGTGCTGGCAGCGAATGCAACCACGAGAGACACGGGGAACCGGCAGCAGTCAGCGCCGCCGGCAGCCCGGACGCCGGGCGCGCGCCTCAACAGTGTGACGGCCCACCGGTCGCCGCAGGTCCGGCTACAGCTGCACCTGCCAAACGGAGTCAGGCGGACGACCGTATGGACGCCCGACACAGGCGCCGAGATATCAGCCCTCTCACTGCAACAAGCCGAGTCCATGGGAGTGAGCAGAGCGGACCTCACGCCCTCCACGGCTGTGCTGTGGGCCGCCGACAGCCGCCGGCTGGACTGTGTGGGCACGTGCGCCCTCACCCTGCAGCTCGGTGACGTCATACAGACCGTGCAGGTGTCCGTTCTGCGAGCACTGCACTCACCACTGCTGTCGTGGCACGATTGTATCGGCCTGGGAAGTCTACCGGCGAGCTTTCCCCGGCAGATTTGCCAGCGCGGCTCGGCAGCCGAGACTGGGACGGACGGTGGGGCACCGGAGCCGCCGCCGCCCGGCGAGCCGCCTGAGGCCCCCGCCGCCGGCAGACAGCCCGCACTACGGCGCTGCAGCGGCACGACGGCGGCACCTGAGGAGACCCGGGACCTAAGCCGCGTCTCTGCCGCCGACCGGCCGGCCGCCAGCTCGGCCGGCGCCGACCCGACCGGGCGGGCGCCGCCGCCCGGCCCTACGCGCGCGCCGCCGCCCGGCCGCGCGCACGGCCCGGCCGCCGGTGGCACCCCCTCCGCACGGCAGCGGCGGGCAGATTTCGACAAATTGAAAGCCGAGTTCCCGAGGGTCTTTGATACGGAGTCGACCCTGCGGAAGATGACGGGGGAGCCGGTGAAGATCGAGCTGACGGACGACGCCGTCCCTCACGCTGTGACCACCGCCCGGAATATCCCGTTCTGTTGGCGAGAGGACGTGCGACTGCAGCTCGACGAGCTGATGGAAAAGGACATCATCGAGCCGGTGGAGCACCCCACAGACTGGTGTCATCCGATCGTTCCTGTGGCCAAGGGGTCGTCAGACGGCACAGTGTCCGGCTGTCGGCTGACCGTGGACTTCACGAAACTGAACCGGTTCGTGAAGCGACCGACGTACCCGGTCCGCTCGCCTCAAGACGCACTCGCCTTCGTCTCACCCGGCGCTGCGTACTTCACCAAGCTGGACAGCAAGGCGGGGTACCACCAGGTCCCCATCCGGCCAGAAGACAGAGACCTGACGTGTTTTATCACGCCGTGGGGCCGCTACCGGTACCTGAGGGCTCCAATGGGAATCGTCAGCTCTGGCGACGTGTACAACCAGCGCGGTGACGCCGCGCTCGGCGACATCCCGCGCACGTGTAAGGTCGTGGACGACGTCCTGGCCTATGACGCTGACTACGCCGCCCACCTGCAGCACGTGCGGCAGATTCTGCTGAGGTGTGACCAGCACGGTATCACACTCAACCCGGACAAATGTCAGTTCGCGGAAGACGAGGTCGAATTCTGCGACTTTCGCATCAATTCGGCTGGCTATACCGCCGACGGCAAGAAAGTCCGTGCCATCCAGGCCTTCCCCAGGCCGGGCAACATCACCGACCTACGGTCGTTCCTCGGCCTGGTGACCCAGCTCGGCGCCTTCTCCCCAGAGGTCGCCGCCGCCGCCTAGCCGCTGAGACAGCTGCTGCGGCCGCGGAACGCGTGGCTGTGGACGCCAGCGCACGAGCAGGCGTTCAGCGCGGTGAAGATGGCACTCACGTCGCCTCCCGTGCTCGACTTCTTCGACCCTCGCCGCCGCACAGTCCTTGAGACTGACGCCGCTCGCTCCGGCGGCCTGGGCTACTGCCTGCTGCAGCAAGACGCCGCAGGCCGGTGGCGACTGATCCAGTGCGGCTCACGCTTCCTATCGGACGCCGAGTCGCGGTACGCCGTGATCGAGTTGGAGCTGCTGGCCCTGGCCTGGGCCTGCAAGAAATGCAGCATCTATCTCGGCGGGATGCAGCGGTTTGAAGTCCTGACCGATCACCGGCCGCTCATCCCGATCCTCAACAGTAAGAGCCTTGCGGAGATCGAAAATCCGCGGCTCCAGCGGCTACGAGAACGGCTGGCGCCGTTCAGCCTGCTCGCCATCTGGCGGCAAGGCAAGCTGCACGCCATCCCGGACGCGCTGTCGCGCGCGCCGGTGGATGACCCGGCGCCTGAGGACGAGGAAGCCGAGAGGGACGCCAGCCATCAGCTCGCCAGCGTGCTCTCACGGCTGGCCACCGACGGGGCGGACGACGGTCCCAGCCCGTTCAAAGACGCGGCGCTGACAGAGGTGCGCGCCGCCGCCGCCGCCCATCCGGAGCCAGCGGCGTATTTAGAAAATCGCAAAGGGGGGGGCCAAGGGTTTGGGGGGCGCCACCTCACCCTAGGAGGGCGCCATACGGTCGCGAGATAAAAATCCGCTCAGCGGGGGCGGGGGGTGGAGGCGTTTTTTTACCACGCCACCATTTTTTTTTGCGTGACTTGGTATATAGGTTATGCTGCATTGATTTGGCATCGTGTGTATTTTGTTTTTACTCCAGGCCAAAAAAGGTCAAGTCACCCGTTCAGCTTAAGTGACAATGCTTAAAACTTTTTTTAAGTTAGATCACTTGACATGACCTGATGACCTTGCTTTTAGCGACTATGGTTTGCATTTTTAGAGCACGTGTAAGAGCAATGTACCAAAAGGTGTGCCCCTCCCGCTCACCCACTTCCCTCTCTCCCCCAGGAAAAAAAAAACGAAAGCTCGTAACGTAGTGGCACCTTTTTCGGATCTTTTTTAACCGCATGTCTGAAGAAACCTCCTGGCGCGGGTTCATCTCACACGTGACAAAAAGGTTGCAAGTTATTGGCATAGGTACTAAGTTCCTAGTAAAGAAAAGTTTGTGAAATGCTGCGCCGATGGCGCGCGAAATTTTTGAAAACAACCTTTTCCTCCGCTTTTTAGGCACATCTTTTGCGTGCTCATTGTTCAAAGCTCTTCCCACTCTTTTACCAAATTTGAAGGTGTAAAAAATACCTAAGGTTTGGTGGCGCCGGTGCCACACAAGCTGTATAGAAAGCTTCGTCCATGGGTGACGATGTAGAAAAGTTTATTGGCGGTGGCATACACACCAGATCACCATATCGGATTGATACCGGAGCGCGAGGTGCGTTAACACAAGCGCACAACGAGAAGGCGGCAACAACAGAAAGAGAAACCATAACAGGGCTGTTCCTCATGAGATCGATTAGCCTTCTCGGGCTTCTCATCCAAATTACCTCGACCAGCCCTCATGACCTTCTCACAGATGCATACAGTGTTGAGCACATTCAATCACCGAAACTTGGACGCCAATGGGTAGAAGGGCAGCGATCAAAAGGGGGGCGCCAATAGGTAAGAAAGCTCCGATCAACAATCAACAGGAGGGTGCCACCATGGGTGAGAGGGCGGCAAGGAACAGGAGAGCACCAATAGATACGAAGGTGGCGATCAACAAGAGGTCGCCAATGGGTAGGAGGGCGGTCATCAACAGGAAGTCGCCAATGAGTGGAAGGGTGACGATTAACAGGAGGGTGGCAATGGTGAGGAGGGCGCCTTTGCACAAGAGGATGACATTGAACAGGAGGGCGTCTGTGAGTAGGGCGCCGATTTAACAGGAAGGTGCCAGTGGATAGGAGGGCGGCGGTCAACAGGAGGGCGCCAGTGGTTAGGAGGGCGGCGATCAACACGAGGGCGCCAATAGGTAGAAGGGCCCCGATTAGCATTCAACAGGAGGGACTAGGAAACCAATAGGTAGGAGGGCGCCAATGGCTAGAAGGGCGGCACTCAACAAGAGGGTGCCAAAAGGGAGGAGGACGGCCATCAAAATTTCACATGAGGGCGCAATAGATAGGAGGGCGCCAATAATTATGAGGGCGCCGACCAGCAGAAGGGTAGCAATGTGTAGCAGGGTGGCGACCTACAGGAGGGCGCCTTCGGGTGAGAGGGCGCCTATTTACAGGAGAGCACCAATAGGTAGGAGTACACCGATCAAATGAGGGCACCAGTGGGCATGAAGGCATCGATCCTATAGGCTTACGTATCCAGTCGCGATTGTTTTTCGATTCGATTCTATCACAATTGCATTCGCGATTGGAGGCTCCAATCGCAAAGGGCGCCTTCGGCGCCCAAGGGGGGGGCCATGGCCCAGTGGCCCCCCCCCCCTGCCTACGCCCCTGTCCGGAGCTCATCGCACTCACCGATCTGATCCTGAACGGGTTTCCAGAGCACCGGTCACAGCTGGACCCGCGCCTCCGACCGTACTGGGGAGTTCGGGACCGGCTGGCCGTGGACGACGGCCTGGTGGTGTGCGGCCAGCGGCTCGTGATACCGCCCAGTCTGCGGCGCGCCACGCTCGAGCGCCTGCACGCCAGTCACCAGGGCGTCGAGCGCACCAAACGCCGCGCGCGGCAGGTAGTCTACTGGCCGTTCCTGGACAGTGACATTGCGAACCATGTCGGAGCGTGCCCGGCCTGCCAGCAGTACCTGCCCAGTCAGCAGAAGGAGCCGCTGATGCCGGAAAAGACGCCATCACGAGTGTTTGAGGCTGTCTCCGCTGACTACTTCGCCTGGGCCGGCCGCACGTTCCTGGTATACGCGGACCGGCTGTCCGGGTGGCCGTTTGTGTCGCACGTGGCCGGCGAGGCGACTGCCAGAGACCTGGTCTGCAGCCTGCGCCAGATATTCGCGGCCACCGGCGTGCCCACCACCCTCCGGACAGACGGTGGACACCAGTTCACCGCCCGGCTCACCCGAGAGTTTCTGCGCCGCTGGGGAGTGGAGCACCAGATCTCTACACCGCACTACCCTCAGTCTAATGGGCACGCCGAGTCGGCGGTCAAGGCCGCCAAACGGCTCATCCAGAAGGCGACCAGCAGCGGTGAGCTCGACACGGACGCCTACGCGCAGGGGCTGCTGGAGCTGCGCAACACGCCGCGCGCCGACGGCCGCTCTCCGGCTCAGGTCCTGTTCGGCCACCCGCTGAGATCGGCAGTGCCGGCGCACCACCGGGCCTTCGCCGACTGCTGGCAGCGGGCGGCGGACGACTGTGACGCCAGGGCCGCCGCGCAGCAACAGGAAACATCCGAGCGGTACGACACGACAGCCCGCCAGCACAGCGCGCTCACCATGGGTCAGCGTGTGCTCGTCCAAGACCCGCGGTCGGGGCTGTGGGACCGCGTCGGCGTCATCACGGCGGTCGGACAGCGGCGCGACTACCTGGTCCGGCTGCCCAGTGGCCGAGTCTACTGGCGGAACCAGCGCTATCTGCGACCCCAGAGATCTCTCATCTCGGAGGGCGCCGCCACACCTGCACCCGGGCGCCGGCAGCAGCTCGCTCCGAGCTCGGCACCCGACGGCACGGAGGAGACCGCCGCCGCTGCGCCGGCGGGCGGACAGCCGGCACCACCGGTGCTGCGGAACAGCGCCGACGACCCCAGCTCAGTGCGCCGTGGGACGCGCCGCCGTCGCCGTCCGGCCCGACTGACCGTGCGCTGGGCGGACCAGACGTGCGACTGAGTTCGTGCGTCCACACCGTGTGTGGTGTACATTTTTGTTTATGTGTTAGACGCAATGCGTATCTTGTACCGACGCATGCGTCTTGAGGGGGGGGGGGGGGTGTTGTGATGGGGCACGTTTTCCTTTCCCTTCATTTGGTCTCACCCCCCGGTCATATGGAAGCACATAAAAAATAAACAGTTCCATGGTCGCCGCCATCGTGTTTCGGTCGTCCTGTGTCGCTCCAGGGATATCGCCGTGTTAATCGCCACTACCGACCATAACAGAACTGACGCATCGGCGGAAGCGGGAGTCCACAGCGGAGAAGCCTTCGTGGAGTGTACACGGGTGTGGGAAATGAATGCTAAGTGTATCCAAATTGAAGGCACTGCTCTCGAATGATATAAATACTGAACAGCTTTGGATTGTTTATATTCCAAATGTTTACTTTCAGGACGAGTACTCCTTGTCATTCGGTCGTCAACTCCTCTCTCCGACCCCGGCTTAGCGCAGGCACGTATAACCTAGAATTTGGCCGAGAGGGGGGGAGCGGAAGAATCCCGTAGAGAGAGCCTCCTACCTACAGAGGGCCCTCTACCCGAGGAGTCAGAGGGGTCCTAGTGGTCAGACATAGACACTAGCGGTTATTCACAGGAGGCCCCATGCTGTAAATTGAAGGACCCTAGGTGGCAGGCGTGTCGGAGAGCCTTGATTGTCCTGAGTCCTGACGTGATTTTTTGGGGGGATTCCCATGAATTTCGTTCGTCTCCGACGTGATTTTGGCCAACGTCGGCCTTCTGCCAGCATGGGCCCTGAAAACCCCTAGGGGGGCGGCGCACCCCGTCCGTCCCCCCTTGGGTACGTCCGCGGTCGGTCCAGCGACTCCACACGCGCCTACCGACACACAAGAAACTCTTGCCATTATGTTTGCTTCTGACGCAATCACGACAGAATTACGCTCTATTGATATGCATGCTGCCAATTGCCATTGCTTTGGAGTCGGTGTTTTGAATGTCTGCGTTTTTTTGGATCGGCTCCACTCTCCAGACAGCTGGCTCAGCCTGATCGACCAGAGCAATGCGACACCTATACCAACTTGATACCAACCTACTTGGCGGGGTGGT